GGAAAGGAGGTTCAAAGGTGTTTTGTGTACCATCACTCTCCTCCAAAGGCTCAGAGGTAACCCAGCAAGCCACCCTCAAGAAAACCAGACATATAGAGATTCCTTTCACAAAAAGAAAAACTTCACAATAATGTTTTCCCTCTAGGAAAAAAAATAAAAAGAACATATTTAATTGCAAAATTAGCCTAAAATGTGTTTGGTTTTTTTGGTTTGTTTTTTTTTTTCCCTTTCAACAGTGCTGAAAACCTCAGTACTGTGGCCTTCAGGTACAAAAGGCCATCCATCAGGAACCAAGGAGTTGCAAGTGCTGAACAATTTGCAGAGGGGCTGGGAGCCTCACTGCAGCACAACCTAACAGAGCGTCACTGGTTTAATTGACTGATGATTTAATAAAATGCTCTGCATATCGATTAACTCGCTTTGCTTAATGTAGCTCAGCTTCCTGGCAGCAGGAACTGGCACCACACATTTCCTGGGCTGGGAGCTGGGTTGCCCAGGGGCTGCACCCACCTCTGCTCCAGCCAACCCCCCTGGCCACACTACTTCCCTTACCCAAATCTTTCCCCTTATCCTTCCCAAAATAATGAAGTTTAACAAAAAGTTAAGATACAGGCAAGCAGATAGTACACACATGCATTAAAAAAATATGCTTAAGCCTTATCCATGCTATAGCAAGTCCCTAACCCAGCTCTGCCAGCCCTGTCTTACGTAGTCAAATAACCTTAGTCTCAGCACTTCCTTTTTTGCACTATTTCAATCTCATAACTGTCAAAAAAAAATCATTTAATGGATTACTTAATTCCTGCACGAAGCCTGGAAAGAGATGAAGCAGTGTAGGGTTAATAAAAGTAGTGCTGTCCCCTATGCCTGGCAGAGGAAGGCAGAGATCCCTCTCAAAAGTGCACGTCTGGTTTTCCTGCTCCCATCTCTCCAGCTATCAGAAGATACAAAAAACAAACCTATACAACCCAAATCACAGCAGCTATCTCTCTACAGTTCATGTGCCCAATTTCAAATAAAGTAAGATATTGTAAAAGTTGGAAAAACAGAGTAAAAGGATTATTAGCCAGCTCTAATTATACGAACTGATCTCATCCTCTTGTCATAAGCCTCTTTCCTGTTTCCGGAATCTATTTGTGCAACAGAAAGACCAGCCTTTTGTAAATGTCCATGGGTCATCAACACAGAGTGATTAATTTCCCACTTTACAATACACATATACTGTCAACCAATTCACTTGTAATCTGATATAACCCTGACCTCGCTTGTCAATTTTTTTCCTTTACCATATTACTAAAGGCAAACAATACTTAAGATACCTATTTGTAAAATCCAAACAACATTTCAAAAGGAGCTATCATGCTGCTCTAATAAAATAAAAATCACAGACCACATCTTCAGCTCAAGTAGCTACATCCTAATAAAGTTAAGACCTAACAGTCAGCTTGAATTAAAGAGCACCATGTACGCAAAAGCACACATATGTTTATACTCAAATTAAGTCCTCCAACAGGTTCTGGGGCAGCTGTTTCACGTATGCATGAGACTTTTATCTCAGGCTCAAATATTAACTTTCAGAAATCCTTAGCAGACATTCTAGCTGCCTCTTCAAATGAGCAAAATCCAGTTTATACCTTCCAATATACTTTGCCATTTAAAAACACATTTTGGCAGTAAACTGTGGGGAAGCTCTCAGTGACAATCAGCTCACGTTTGTAAGAGTGATCTTGACTTTGGGGGTTTAACCAGGAACTTCATGAAAATCCCCAGGTATCAGGCTGGGCAGCATCACACAAGTTACTAGTTACCTTTGAAAACAGAGACGCATAGTATGGGACCAGGTGAAGAATGGTAGGGAAGGAAGAACAGGCTTTGGAGAGTGTTTCACCCCAGGTATAAAAGGATAAACATGATGGACAGCTGTCATCAGCAACAAAACGCCTACAGCCTTACTCATGTAGTGGGAGAGAGCAAAGCGGCCACCTATTGATTCCAACAAGGTCTTGACTATAGCATGTCTCCTAAAAACAGCCTTCTCCACCTGATTATTCTCTGGCTCTCAAGGCTGTGCTGTTTTAGGAACTACACCGAGCAATGATGGCTTCAGTGAAAGAAATAATACCCCCAACCCTAGAGCTGAGCAATAAGGCTGTGCTTCTCTCTGTGCTCAGCACTTGTACTGCATTCCCAAAACCACAGGCTTGGAGTAGAAAAGAATCCATGACACCCAAAGCATCATGCATGGTTTTATGATGACAAATATTATTAAATATCTCCTAGCATTTACAAATCACGTAGTTACCCAATAAGTGCATGCACCAACCTTAACTCTCCACAGCAGAGTTCCAGCCACAGAGTTGGAAAAATTGGCATCAAGACCAAGATCCAAGAAATGTTTCCACTCATGTTTTGACCAAAGCAGCTTCAAGTGCCCAACATTTTAATGTATTCTTCCCTTCTAAAGAATAAATCAGATTCACTTTTCCCTTTAGGTTCCGTTTTGCAAATGCTCCCACTGTGGCTCCAGGCATCACAGACTTACTCAGGAAAAGCCTGGTTGGCACTTTTTTCCAGAAGAGGAAAACTTCACTAGAAACTTTGGGTTTCCTACAGGAGTACCTGTGCTAACCTCACTCCCTGTGGCACAGCACAACCACATCTGCCACTGCAAAATTACAAATTGTTGCTTCATAATTGTCCTCTTCTTTCAACTCAAAAACTATGGGAATATGTTCTTCTCTGAACGGATACTTTAGGTAGTGACAGAATATGCTCATTTTGCTGCACATCCTTTCTGAAGCACAACAGCCTCAAAAACGCACATCATTAACCTAATGAGTGCAATGATGGAGTTATTTGGTGTGGCATTCCCAGAGAGGAAAAATGAGAGTTGTAACTCTCTTCCCAGAACACTGTATTACACAGTGCATCCAGGGAATGCCCTACAGAAAGTAAAACCCCAAGCAACAAAATGCATTACTTCCTCAGATCAGAAAAGGGAGAACACTCATTCAAATCCAATTTTTAAATAAATTAAAGCATCAAATAATAAAAATCTAAATAACCACAGTTTGTACCCAGTTCCACTACCCCACCTTTTACGTTTGAGCCTTTCTACAGCTCACTCATACTCAAAAAACAAACTTTGCAGACACCCCACTTCGCAACTGAAATCATTTCTTTCCGCTGCCTTAGAGAGTGGCCTTTCACACTGGTCCCCCAGGAATGGAACGGGTTAAGTGCCCACAGGTCCCAGCCTTTCCATTAAGTCATTTATTACCCCAGCTTGGGGACAAGGAGCTCTGCAGAAGGGAGAGCCCACGCTGTGCAGCTGTTCGCCAGCCAGGCACCTCTCCACAATTATAACACAGGATTAAGCTCAGGGAGTGGAAATCCGTCCCTCATTGCTGATGGCTTTTTTTCTTTTTTTCAAGTTATGCAGCTATTTTAAATGTTACAGAGCTCATTATCATGAAGTTCATTAAGCAGTAACCACTTTATGAATGAAATGAAAAGATTATCATTATAGGACCAATTATGGAAATACTAGACCAGCAGGCAGGAAAAGGAAAGGGTATGAGAATGCTGCTCCTGAACTCCAGTTCAGCCTTTTTGTTTTCCCAGATTCTTCACAGGAGGCACACCCAAAAAACAGACGTGATGCAGAGGCTGGTTCCCAGGCAGGACTTCAGGTGAGAAGCTCTTGCTGCCTGTGCTGGGCCTCCCCAGAGATTTTGCTGCTACTGCCATGCAAAAAATCATCCCCTTGATCACCTCCAGGAAGGGTCTGGCATCTTTCTCAGCATCAAGCACTGCTTGCTGCAAGTTCACCACGCTTCCAAAATCAGCAGAAAGTTAAGAAACACTGTGACAAATAAAGCCACAAATTGCTTCTCTGCATTCCTTCTTTAAACACGATGAACTTGGCGACCAGCTCTAAGCAAGACATTTATTCCTGATAAAGCAGGTTTCATTCATAATTTTGCCAAAGACTTCATTTCTTTCCCAAGGTCTGAGAACAGGTGTAATTCCCCTGCTCAACCCCACTGAATAAAGCAAAGCCAAACAATTACAATAAATACTTGTCTCTACAGTAACAGTATTTTACGATTAATCCACCCAGCTGTTGCCACAGCTCCAGTAATGCCAAACGATTGGGACTTGGTATTATTAAAGTGCTGGTCTTCCAGGCAAGACCATGGAAAATGTGAGGCACTGCAGAAGGTAAACAGGTTAGGGACAGTGGGAGAAGAAAAGAGGCAGCTTCCCGTGGTTGTCCTCTCTTCTTCCCTTGACAGAGCTCAAACATGACAAGCACCCATTTCCAGGCAAGACTCTAAGAGTTTCTTTGCTTCAAGCTAATAGTTCTTGCAAATTCAAGTAATTTTGGAGAGAATGGGTGTAACACCATGAGTCAAAACAGCTACTCAGTATTGCAATAACCACACACTCATTTTTAGGTCAGATCCATCCCCTGATCTGGTTCACCACATGAAAAAGCTGGTGTTAACTGAAAAACAAACGCAGAAGCCTCAACAACATGACTGCTCCAGGACAGACAGAGGGACAGCCCAGCCGTTGGGCCGACTGGGAGGCACATCCCACCAGCAGCTGGTAGGACCTCAGCTCTGATCCTGACTGCCTCCCATGGAAATCCTTGGGCTGTAACCATGTGCCTGCTGAGGGACATGAAAGCTGTATCTTAAAATATTAGGGAAAAACAGCTGATGCTGTTAAGTGCTATTTTACACCATGGCATATGATTGATACAAGAGGCGAGACCACACATCTCTTTTCTGTTTCCACCACAAAGAAACTGTATTTCATGGCAAAGTAACTTTCTGAATTTGCTTATAACATGTGCTTTGATATCAACATGCTCTCCTGCTGTCAAGGGTAAGCCTGACAAATGGCTTGGCAATGGGCAAACCTGTTCTCCCAAACCCCTCACCTCAACCCTCATTTCTGCCTGGAAGAGCTGCCAAAACATTTAACCTTACTTTAACTGCATGAAGCAGTACAGGTGGCTCCAAGACGTCCTTCAGGTCGTTGCCACACCAAGCGGGCAGGAGCAGGGCAGGCCACGACACTCAGCTCCTGGAAGAGAGGGAAGAAGGAGGAGTCATCAAGTGCAAGGGTCATCATGGCTGCTGGGGTTCCAACACACAAACTGGCATCACAGCACCTTCACCAAGGGGGATGGAAACCATCCTCTACCTTGCAGGCTGTACAGGAGGCACGTTTTGCCTCCCACGGCAGTCCCATGTGGTTCCGCGAGCACACACGGGGCAATGACCACACTATGTACAGGGCTATCTATATGGGCATCTGGCACCACCTAAGAATAACTGTGCTGCTGAGTTGTATTTGCTGCTGTCTTGCTATCTGGTTTATCCCCAAAGCTGTTGATCTGCTGTCCACCACTGCATCACAAACCACTAAGCTGGCCTTAAGTCCTTTGTATCCATCAACACAGCCCCTCTCAGACTTCATCAAACTCTTGTGAACTCCTTTATGGCAAGGTATTTTAAAAGGAAGAACAGCACCAGAAGTAGATGATGGCAGATGATAGCCAGCAGATGAAGCCAGCAAATCTCTGCCAAACCCTTCTGGGCTGCCTGCACTTTTCCACAGGCTGATTTCCTTCTCTGGGGAAAAGCCTACTCAGTAGATTCATCCATAAGTATAAACCTGGCCTACAAAGCACACCTGGAAAGAGCAGTTATAGCAGATTAAATGTCAAAAGGAGAAAAAGCCCAGGTTGGGTTTTAGTTTATTAAATGCTGTGTGGGAGATTTTATTAGCCAAATCAAAGTCATCAGGGTACCTCAGGCCATCATTTGGTTACCACAACAGGAAAGGTTGTGGCTACACACACATCACCAAACGCAAGCGCGACACACCAACTGCCTCCTCCTGTTCTACCAGGAGGAGAGACTCTGCCCCTGTGCTCTCCCACTTGGGAAAGCATCCGTAATCTGGGAATCTCACAGCCTGAGCCAGCCTGCCGACCTCAAAGTGCAATTACAAGCACAGAAGTAACAATGGCAAAATGAGTTACCAGCTGGGAAATCAATTGTACTGTGTGAATTAGCCGGGAACAGACTGCACTGGAAGGTAATGCACTGCACAACAAATCTCACTTCTTCGTCTGAACAAGAACAGCATCACCTCAACACCTCAATGTTGGTTTTACACAATGTTTTCTTAAGATTAATGGCTAAAAGTCTCTTTTATGCATTCTGCTGAGAAATGGGGAAAGTAAGGCACTACAGGGTACTGTGTTTTACTGCAAGTATATATATTTAGACACAGACCAAACAGGAGAAAAGAAAATTCATACTCTTGTCCCTCTTAAAGTATCAGCATTGTGCACGAATTCCTTCACTGCGATGTCACACATTTCTGAATTACATTCTTATGCCAAACTACTGGAGCTGAAAGAGGAATTACCTGAACTCTTAAACCCCAGTTAAGAGCACACAAACACTCTTTGGATTCATTAACCAGTAAAAACCACCCTTGCAGCCACAAACAAACAGACTGGAACTTCCCTCTGGCATTTCTGTAGTGTTACTCTCAGGACCACATTTTAGAAGATGGTTACCATTTGATAAAGCAATGATTAACTCTGTTAAGTAAGCAACATTAACCCAAGGCTCCTACTTGCCATCCTGTGTTGATCTCCAAATAACAGCTCTCTCAAAAGGCACATATAACAACAGTACAATGGTTTCATTTGTTTGTGAGACGCTGATAACTTGGGTTTTAATACTGTATTTGTATATTTTGGCAGAGAAAGCAGGGTTTGCTGCTACTCTTTTGAACCAACAAGGAATATGGGTATGGCTAACACTGCTAAAGTAGATACTGAGCCTGTTGTGAATCACTGCATGTTTTTCCTCATATCCACCAAGGAATGAGGGTGTGTGTATGGAGTCATATGGAGTGCTTACTTGGATGTTCAGGACTTGGAAAGTTTTAGCAAGTGAAGAAAATCAACTGGCCTACCAATGAAAAGCTGTAACATAGATCACAAAATTCTTTCTCACAGTTTTTGTTTGTCTGGTTTTATTCTGTGGGAATTTTTAGATTGCTACAAGAAGCAGCAAATAACATTAAAAAGTCATATATATATATTTTAGTTCCACATGTAAAGAGCCTGCACGATCAGTAAGGCTCTCCACATCAGAGAATCAATTCCCCAAAGAACTGATTTCTACTTCCCATGAAACTGTTATGGGACAACCCCTGCACGCCTAAGCACACCCATTTCAGAAAGATTTTTCCCCATGGGGATTTCTTCTCCTCCTCTTCCCGTACTGGGAAAGTCATCACCAAGTGTAGATGAACACTGACATAGCTCCTGTTTTCTGAGTCTTAAAATTACAGGAAGATGATGACATACAGTAGCTTTATAAAAAGCAATTTAGTTTCTACAATGCTCTGCCAGCATTCCCAACAACCTGTAACTGGATAATTTCTGCCTAAAAGGGGTGATAGTAATGATAATACTCAGTGCTCACTAAAGTAAATGAGAATGTAAAGGAAGGTCTTATTGACACTTGCTTTTATACAACGTATTTTGCTTGGGTTTAATAAAAATAGGGGAAAACCCCATCTCATTGCTAGGACAGGATAATTTGATAGTGGACTGCTCATGGTCTTGCTCCCTTCATACTGAGACAGCTAAAGAAGAAATTTCCCAGGCCACTGATGAATTACTGAAACATCTTTTGAAGAGAGAGGAAAATAAAATTTAAGGACAGTGTTACAGCTATTTACAATTTTAAGAAGACAAAGTAACTGGCCCTGTGGATTATATATGTAATTCCTTCTTTTCCCAAAAAAGAGCCCAATCTGCATCTGATCTGTCCTTTACAGGCAGAGGAGCCAAGTACCAAAAGGTACGCTCCCTACATTTCTAAATTAAATGAATAGCAGTTAATAACACAGCCAAAAAAGAGTTATCCTGTGCTGAAAATCTATTTGGGAGCAATCAGTCGGGGCTCTCAAACACACATGCTTGGTAGAGCCCCAACACATGGACCTCAGGGCTTCCAGTTGCTTTGATGGTTCCTCCCAAGCAAACACCCACCCTTACCAAACACTGCCCAGTGCCCAGCACAGAGCAAACTACTCCTCAAACTTGCTCTTTTTTCCCTAAACACAAACCCATTTTATTTTTCAGAGAAGTGATATATATTTTGTTGCTCTGCCAGCTGACGGCTTTGACACATCAAACGGGTTATCTCACCATCTGGTTGTAATTGCCATCACAAAGCTTTCAACAAATTCAAGGAAGAGCACCAAAAGGAGGGCACTAATGGTCCAAGAGATGAACTGCCGATTACTGGGGATTATTTGATACAGTTGGAACCTTTTCATAGACAAGACGCCCAAACACAGCCAATCCCACAGCTACAGCACCCAAACAAGCCTCTGGAGTACTTTCAAGTTCTGGCTGTTGCCCACTATAAAACCTCCTCACAATTTCATATCAAAAGCTGTCAATGAAAACACTGCTTGTCCTCCTCATCTCCCAAACTGCTGGGTGTACAATTGCATGCTGCTGTAATCTTTTGTGTTGAATACACAGCCTATATTTGAGTATCACAATATTCTCGTTATAGGACATCCTTTTCCTGCTTCTATTGATGCCCAAGAGAGACTGCCTCACAAGACATTTTAAGAAGTTTGTCCCATGGTCTGAACTATGTTTCCTAATTCCTTAGGGAAGGGAGTCTGGACACACTCTGCTTGGACACGGTGACACGCTTCTCAGACAACCAGAGGATCAAGCCCTGCCAGCATGGGTTTAAGAAAGGCAGGTCTTGCTTGACTAGCCCAAGGAACTGGTGGAGTCACCACCTCCGGAGAGATTTAAAAGATGTGTAGATGTGGTACTTAGGGACATGGTTTAGTGGTGGTCTTGACAGAGCTGGGTTGATGGCTGGACTTGATGATCTTAGAGGTCTTTTCCAAGCTAAATATGATTCTGTATAAACAGAAGAATAAAGTATTATTTGCCTAAAATCTGCTTTGCTTTGGACAAGTGCAAGTGCAACATGGATCCACTAGCCACTGCATCACACAGTTACCACATCTATACCAGCAGATTGCAGTTCCTCACATTTTGACACACACACAAGGTTCCTCTGAAAGTAAATTATGGGTTTTGTTTAAAGAGCAGCATCTGACTTGGCACACTGGATGAAGAAAAACCAAGAATTTTAAAACAATAGAAAGTAAAACATATCCATATTTCACATCTCTGTACACATCGCAGAACAAGCAATAATATTAAGATGTTAACTGGAGTCCCATTAATCCTGATTACCAAGAGACGGGAGACAAAAATTCTTCCATATACACTAAGTTAACTTTTGAAACCTAAACTCTTTTGACAGCGTCGCCTTGAACTTGTAAACAGAAATATTCCCAATTGGATGAAAAGGGAAACAAGGATGCACCCATCCAAGACCACTTCCCTGCTCATTCTAGCTCTGGACAGAAACAGATTTTTCTCTCTCGAACTTGGAGATCTGCACAAAACTGAAAGAAGTTTGGGGTTTGCTTTTTATTTCCAGCAGCAATTGCAAAGCAGCAAAACAAAGAGGTCAGGGATGCTTTATAGCTCTCTGTCTTCCCTCTTGACAGCAACCTGTGCTCCATAAACTCTTCCTGTGCAATAACACACAGAAACCTGTTACCTCAGAAGATTAGGTGCCACGGGGACTCTGCAAGCAGTGAAAAATCCCCGACCTCTGAGAGCATGGTCCTGCACAAGTGCTCTTCAAAGGTATATGAGGTTTCGGCCTTCAAAATTGAAGGGAAAAAAATTGAAATAATAACAATATTTTTATTAGCCATTTTTTACTAATAATAAAAGCAGGACTTGGTCCAGAAATTTGATCTTCCTTAAACTGAGGCCTGTCACCGCGTTCATCCTAAATAGCAACTGCTTCTTTTCAGACAGTCTTGTAAAACCACATCAGGATTCAGATAAGGGCTTCAAACTGTTTCCACAAGACCATCATGGCTAACTATGGGAGATATTAAAACTGTAGTCACGGAGGGTTTAAAATCTGCACAAC